GCTGCTGCTCCCTTCTCTAGAGATTCATCCAGACCAATTTCCTCTGCTGTTGAGACTCCAAAAAATCAAGCAGGCTCAATATCCGAAATGCTGAACAATCAGGAACAGGTTTTAAAAATGTCACCTGAACAATTGACAATAGTACTTAGGATCCTCCAAAGCATATTGAAGCAGAACGCAGCCCCCAGTAATGGATAAATGGAAACTGTCTGTGCCAGCTATGTGTGTTCTTTTCTGTTACTATTTCCCCCCAGCTGTAATGGAAAATAAAGCCTTTTTACGTTCTTTCAGTTCGGACATGCTTTAAAAGTTACTTGAATTTTAACAGAAACCGTGTGTGTGTGTGTGTGTGTGTGTGTGTGTGAGAGAGAGAGAGAGAGAGAGAGAGAGCGGGAGCGCATTTGTACGTATCTATAGTGCAGTGGTCCTTCCAAAATGGAGAAGTATGGATAACCACTAGAAGAGAGACCTGAAACCTGAGTCATCTTTATAGAATTAAAATATTTATCACTGATGCTCTGATCTTTAAAAAGTCAGACGATGTGCCCTGATTCCCTGCAACCTGCATTATGATGCTATCTCAAATTAGTGCTGTTTTGAAAAAAAAAATCCTCATTTTTAAAGCATTTGCGTTTAACTTTTTACATTTTTCCTTCTAAACTTTGTAGTTGTTTGTAACATTTGTTACTGGTCTGGCATATTGCTTTGAAACTTCCTTTTGAAAATGTGTGTGCTGAGGCAGTGGATGTCCACAAACCAATGATCACTCACTCCATCTCTTTTGCTTGAGTGAAGGGCATGTCATTGGACCCTGCTTACCCTGCCAGACTTTTGCCAAGCAAGCCAGGAGAAACAGGTTTGGAAGAAAGTGTGAGAGGCAGTGGAACTTCAATAGAACCATGGAGCTCAACCTTTGCAAAAGCAACTTCTTCAGCTGCTATTACCTTCTAAACCATTACCTTCTCCTTCCCCAGTCATTCTGGCTGTAACCACCATACAGTCCTCACTGTTTCAGCAGAGAAGGAATCCTGAATATCAACCTTATTAGACCTAGTCAAAAAGAAGATAAGGAGGAAAGAGTCAAGCACACAAAAGAACTCTTCCAACCATCTGCTGCTTGGTTACTGCCACGACCACCACCATTTCTTCATTCTCCCATGCAAACTGTGCTTTTATCCATTCTGGAGCCAGTTTTGGAAGGGGAAATCAAAGACCCCTCTTCTAGAGCATGAGATAACCGACAGCCTCATGTAAGCACTCTGTTCTCGTTGCAACATTGTGAACAATCTCCTGGATTGTTTTAGTATTAGCAGATTGAATGTGAAAGTCATCAGCATTATAAACGACTGTGTTCTCTCAGACTGGAACGGACATTCTGATTGCTTAATGACTCACCATAGATCATATTACTGGGACAACTGGAGTCTGGGTTGAGATCATATTTTACACTTGAGACTTACCGTGTACCAGCAATGGGCCCACCTGGCATCTTGTTATCCCCTCAACGCTCCCACCATTTCAAGATCCTCACAAAAATACAAGGATAAATACAACATAAATACAACATAAACTATCTGAATTGCTCCATGGTGACTACAGTCTTGGTTTTCTGCCTGTTCTGCATCATTCCAAGGGTTAATTTCATCTCCTTCCCCTCCTGTATCTGCTAACATAGAAGCAAGGCCTAATTTGACTTCTAGATCTGAGTATGCTCTGCCTAACAGCTTGGAGACTCTGCTAGGGACTTTTTCCACCTTTGTCTGAGCCCTCAGTTCAGAAGGTTCAGATGCCACTTGTAAAGCTTCTACCATGGCTTCCTATGGGTAGGAAGTGGAAGCCTTCTTTTCCTTTATGCTTTCAAAAGGACTGTCCTACTTGTTTTATTCCCCATTTTATTTTTTCTGTTAACTCTCTTTCAAATGGGTTTCAGACTTTCTTTGAAGTTTTAATATTAATGCTGTCCCCATAAAACCACCTTCATTTCAGTCTTCTGGTAGTCCTGAAGGCACCCACTGGAAAACATTTTAAGCTAATGGCTACAACAGACCTATACTTGTTCTTGGGGAAAGTGGCGTTTCTAGTCCCTATAATGTCTGCTCATCTATCTAGTGAGCTCTTTGCTTCCAAGTAGACTCTCCATATATGATTTTCCATGAGATTATCCATCCAGATGCTTCTTTCCTGCTGAACATGGTGCTGGACCTTCACCTCAGTCAATGTATTTTCTTGCATGCTTTCTTCCCTTTACCTGCTCCACCAGGGGTCTTCAAACTTTTTCAACAGGGGGCCAGTTGAAAGGCAGCAGTGGTGGGTGCAGGCCAGCGAGGCAGGGGCGGGTGCGCACACAGCAAGGCAGCGGCGGCTTGCTCACTCAGATTTTTCTCTGAGAGTCCAAAACCTCTGAGGCAGGCCGGATAAATGGGCATGGCAGGCGGATCTGGTCTCGGGCCTTAGTCACTTTTGGAAGTGACTCAGCATATTTGCAATTGGGAATAGGCCCTTGCCTATTATAATGCAAAATTGGAGACATTTCAGAAATACCATGTTTCTCTGTCATGTGGCACAGAACAAGGGAATACCTTGTTTTCTTATCAAGTAGGGGGTCTCAGACTCAGTCCAAGTTCACTGCACACTTGGCTACATCAACTGCACTTGCTCAACATCTTTCTCTTGTCAGGTAGCTATGTGGTCAAAACCATGTAGTTTCATCTGGTGCTACAGGACAGGTAGCAGGGGAAAAGCAGAGTTGTTTTGGTCAAGCAGTCTTGTCATCTACTCTGTATTAAAGACACCAACCCATCTTTGGTAAGGGAGTTTGTCAGTTGCCCACATATGCAATGCCCAGAGCACAAAGAGGTTGCTTACCTTAACTGTAGTTAAAATGGCCACCTGTGCATTCACACCACCCACCATCTCCAAGGTAGCCACTGTATTAGTCACTGTATTGATTCCAGTATCAAATTTCTCTTGGTTTGGAGGACACAATAGGTGGTCTCAATGAAATGAAGAAGTCGGTGGGAACCTGCCAGTGACAAATTGAAGATCCCTGCCAAAAATTGCTCAGCTATAGAAACTTCCTGAATTTAGGCTCCCTGCAGACCCTGAGCCTTTATATCTGAATGCACAGATGACCACTGGAAGAACTACAAGTTACAGGTAAGCAACCTGTCTTTCCTATGGCATAAGCATGGGATCAACATTACCACTAGAGACCTTTCAAAATGAACAAAAATGTGTATTAATGGAAATTATTTACAAAAGAGAGTAAAATGTAACTCTTCTAATAATAAGTTGAGATTGCTTAAAACTTCTTAAGTATGGTTGCTCTCCTTTCCTATTCTAAGATTCCTCTAGCTAGGTAAAATCTGAATAGCTTCCAAAACTCTACCCCTCAAATAGGAACTGGTTTAGGGATTTCCCTAAGCTTCCTGACAAATAGGAATAAATGCTGTACACTGCTTCTAGTTCTTGTTTCTTTTAGCCTCTAAGAACTACTTGCTGATGCTACGTTTGGTCAGAAATTAAATAGAAACCTAAAATAAGTGTCTCCTGGTTTGTTTTGAAAAGTATGTTTGGGATATTACATTTTAATAGGGTTTACTGACCAATTTACTGAGTTTACTTTTAAAAGTAAATATAATGACTTTATGAACAGGTCAAATTATAAACAATAAGCCTGCATTATATTATGATCCTAAAGTAGGCCTCCCCAAGCTGGTGCCATCCAAATGTTTTGGACTACAATGTCCAGCACTTTTGACCAATGGCCATGTCATATGGGGCTGCTGGGAGCCAAAGTCCAGAATATCTAGATGGTCCAAGGTTGGAGAAGTCTGTCCTAAAAAGTGAGAAGTGCAGTAAAAAGTAAATATTACTTATTTTTCAATGTTCTCAAAATCTTTTTTTTCTTTCCATGGCTTCAAACTTTCCAGAATGTTTATATCTCTATTCTGCATTGTCTTCCCTACATAAATTGCACTGCTTTCCCCCCTACCACCAGCTGACAGGCACAAGGAAGGAAGGCTTGAAGTGATCCTAGCTCAAGGGAAAAAGATTTAAATTTTCTTCCTTGTGAGGAAAATGGAATAAGGTGTAAAAGGCATGGGGGAAGGACAAGGAAAGAAACTTACAGGCACATTTGGCCCCACCCCACAGCCCATGGCTGCACAGAACCCATGGGAGCAAAAAAGCTACCCTGTCGAATTGATAATGGGTTTGCAAAGCATTCTGAAAATGGAATTTCATGCAAGACTACTCAGAAATATGTCACAATAATTTCCAAATGACTTATTCCCAGGCAAGAGAGTATAGGCAAGCAAAATTTAGAAGTTGAACACAAGTTGTTAAAGTGGTCAATGAAAAGGTAAAAAAGTTAGAGTCCCTATGGATTTTACTCAACTTAGCCAGCAGCTAATAGAGGTGGTGCTCATCTCCATTTCTAAGGCTGTGAACCAGCACTGTTCCAAAACGATTCTGAGGTCATGTGGCCAGCAGGATGTCATGGAATGCTGTTACCTTCCCACTGAGAGGGTGCCTATTTATCTGCTCACATTACATGCTTTTGAACTGCTAGGTTGGCTAGGAGCTAGGGACTCACTCGGTCTGGCGGAAGCTGGGCTCAAACTGCTCGAGTGCTGGCCATTTCTGGCTGGCAGATCCAGCGTCACTAACCAACTGTACCACCGCTGCACCACCGCTTCCCTCTAAAAGGTAAGAGTTGGACTTAATTTTAGACTTGTCTTAAAATTCTTGTTTACTCTTCATGCTATCAAAATCCTTCATTTCTAATTAGTGTAACTGTAAGACTAAAATGGAGAAAAATAGTTAACCCTTTGAACATTAAACGTCTATATAAAATATTCATGTTATACAGAAAAAAGTGTGACAGTGTCAGGAATTGTAGAAATATGCCCGTTCAATATGCTGGGATATACTTTCAAGTATTATTCAGGATTGCAGTGTTAATCCACAAGCTAATAAAATAAAAATACCTCAACTAATTTTCTTTTAAACAAGAAGCACATTTTATTCCAGTTATATTGATCAGATTTAGGTTGGCAAAAGATGACTAATACATAGTTTTATTTCAGTAGTTTCCTAGTCAAAAGAACATCTACTTGTATCACATCTGATACAGCTTTGTGAAGCTACATACTTAAAAAAAAATAAGCTAACATCTATTTTACATGATCAAATTGAATGTACATTAATAAAATATAATTCTAAATATTTCAGTATTAAAACCCTCTCCCCCCAAATTATATGCTGTACAGAGAATAAGTTTGGTTAAGGTCATGCTTATTCAATCATTCACAGTACTAAGGTAACAAGAATTGAAAGCTTGTTTCCCATCAATCTGACCCTTTGTTTTCATTATTTTTGTCATGTGGACTTACCCTTTCTTCACAAGGAAAGGCACCTCAAGAAGTTCACAATACAAAACTTAAGGTCATTTACCTTTAGAATCTATTGCTTTCTAGAACAGTGTTTGCAGCAGTATACTTCTAATAGTCATGTATTATTGCCATTCATGTTTCAGTCTTTGAGGCCCAACAGATCTTATTCTTTGCCTCAGTTATGTAGATTATTTTCTCTGCAATCCATCTAATCCTCAAAGCCTATTTAAAGGCTAGGTAGATGTGAGCTCTGAGTAGCAACATTTCAAATACTATTAGAACTGTGGACTGGTAAGCAATGGCAATGGATTCATGCAGTGAAGGATCATAGCTCTCTCTTCCAGGCTATAGTGGTAGGTGAAGGACGCATGGTGGAAGAACCCTCAGGACTTAAGTGACAAGTCTGTACCGTGTCACTTTTTGTATGCAGGAAAAGACACTAGTGTATATATGCGATAAATATGTTAACAGATATACCAAAACAGAAAGAATTTCAGTTTAACACTGCAAAGGCTGTAATAACATACAGGTAACCATATGTCATTCCATGCAAGTGTTTTATCATAAAATAGGCCCTGTTATACTTAGTTTGCAGAAGTGGAGAGAAGATGTTTGGCAATTCAAGAAGGCAGGTTTACTGCATTCACCAGTAAGTATCACTTGGGAAGAAGCCTCCTCCCCATACAGCATCATCTGTACACACATTTAACGTGTTCAAGTATATCACAAATATTTGTATTTTAACAAAACAAAGCAGCAAATAAATCACATTTCTTTCAGACATATGTTAGAGGTAAGGCTTAGCATCTCTAGAATTCCCAATACATCTCTCTTGCATTTGGTAAAATACATCCAGACTTTCTCCACATGTCTGCTGAAGGTACTGCTGACATTTGTGATCGAATATGTTGGATGGCAGGAGGCAACAGTGAAAGTAATGAGCCCTTTGTTTGTTCTTTTACCTGAAAAAGGAGAACTTGGTGACACAAATAATAAACATGTACTGACAAATCTGTTGAAATAATTGTAGATTAATTCAGGTAGGATCATTATCTTACAACTGGTGGACAATGAAGAATCTGAAACTTGGGTGTGCTCCAGATATGCCTAGGTGTTAACTGCTTCACACTGGTTAACTAATGTTGAAATTACTGCCACCACAAAACCTCTTGTTCCACCGAAAGACTACTTCTGAAGGCGTATTACTGCTTCAAGGTACATCCCGCTTACACTACTCCTCTTAACACCAGTCAGCTCCAGATGCATCTGCTTGCCTGCAGACACACCTTAAGATTTTTCCCCTTAAGAATGAGCAGCTTGTGCTCCCAATGCATTACTTGTTTCCTAGACTGGTCTTTATCTTAAGCTACAATTACTGTATATATTGTATCCACTGAAATTTGTGACAAGCTTACCTGTTTGAAAAAAGCATGTGACAGTAGACCTCTCGCTGATGGCCTAGATCCCAGGAGGAAAACACAAAGCTTAGGTTTTTAACCTTTGCAAATGGAGTTAGCTGGTAATTACTTCCCCTCCTCTTGCAGCCTATTAGCAGGGTCAATTGATTAAAAAAAATCAAGTAAAATCGTTCCATTTAATTATACTCCCCAAATACACCTGTTAGAGTAATGTCATAATATTTTCAAAAACACATAAACTCCACAAAAATGTATTTTTTCATGCTTGTCATATGTGAAAAGTTTCAAAATCAGAACTTAGAATTACAGAATTTATTGAATTTATTCTGTGCCTTTTACTTACTGATGTGGTTTATCTGAATGCATTTGCACATTACCAAAACACCAGTACATATTATACCATTTAATATGTTACCACTCATATTTAGACAAAAACATAGTCCTTGAGATTTTCTTTTCATTCCCTATTTTAAAGACAGAACAGAGCAAAAATTGCTTCACAGATTGACTTTGATTGCCACCAATCAGTTTCAAATGCTGCTCCACCAAAGATCACAACACTCACACCACTGGGGTAGGACCCACAGTGGAAAAATGTTATAGAGGTAGAGTGATGGGAAGTTAGGGAGAATGGAATGTACTTCTCCACTCATCCAGTCCTCTCCATTCTTTGCATGTTCTGAACATAACTAACCTGGTAGAGGTAAGTTAATAAGAATAAGGTAGAGATATGGGAAGCATGTAAAGGCCGCCATCACTTTTTATCATCCCAATGAACTATATGCTCACAGGTTAGGAAGCCAGAGGGGTGGCAGGAGAGAATAAGGCTCTATTAAGCCTTAGCAGGATTTTCTGTGCATTAGCAAGATGATGGTATGTCCAGTGAATCATCCCCTTATCATCGCCAACGTAGGATAACTCTATGAATGAAATCCCTCCAGAACGTCCTATTCTTCTCAGCCCTGCTCAGTTCTTGTAAACTCAAGGCTGTGTTTTCCTTTGTGGAAACAATCCATCTCATGGTTGGTCGTCTTCTTCAATCTTCCCTAGCATTAGTGTCTTCTCCAGTGAATCCTGCCTTCTCATGATATGCCCCAAATATGAGAGCCTCAGTTTTGAGATTTTTGCTTCTGGGGAAAGTTCTGGCTTTATTTGATCTAAGATGCACCCATTAGTTTTTCTCAGTCCAGAGTATTTGCAGCAATTTCTTCCTGCCACCTTTCATCACTGTCCAGCTTTCACACCAATACAGAATGATCAGGAATACAACAGTGTGGATGATCCTGGCTTTGGTCTCCAGTGAAACATCCTTACTTTTGATGATCTTTTCTAATTCCTCCATTGCTGCCCTTCCAAGCCTGAGTCCTCATTTGTTGGCTGCAGTCTCCTTTGAACTGATGACTGAGCCAAGGCATGCAGTGGACCAGAACTTTTTTTATAATATCCTCACTGTACTTTATAATATCCTCACTGTGTCTATCTACTCTTTCATTTCAGCTGAGATTTTTGCAACCAAGTCTCACTTAGAACTAATAGGACCTGTGTGTATCATATGTTTCACTGTACCCCTACACAGTATGGCCACAGAATCTGGCTTCCTGAGAAATTTGAACTGCATTTAAAGAATAAATGCACCTTGCAATGGCTAAGAATCCCTCTTTCCCCAGCAATTCTGAAAAGTGCTAGAGAAAATACGTTCTCCTGTTATATACCTTTATATACTTTCAAGCATAGATAAAATTAGGTTTTGAAACCACTGTACAAAGTTATTTTTGTATCCATGCAAATGTATTTCAAATTTTAATCACTAACTTCTAAGTGTAGTTTACTGCAAAAGCATTACCTTTTTTCTGGATCCTGATGCAAACAGAGTTCTATCAAGTTATGGAAAGCAGGGGAGAAGGTCTTTGGTGGAGTCGCCAGTCTCTCACTTGTCATTGTGCGTGTCATGCTTTCACCAATTCCAGAGTCAATCCCTGATCGAGAATTTTTTATCCTGGATTCACCATGTGGAAATGTATTTATAGCCCAGGGATAATAAGATGGGCCTTTAAGCTTCTGCAGCAGCATCTGATAGAAAGATTAGGGTGATACAAAATTTCCCATGACTTCTTAGATCAATGCTAGTATCCTGGGCAGAACTGTTTTTTGTGGGGGAGAAACCTATGCAATGTGTCTATGTCTACTCTTTTCAGAACTGCTCATTGTCAGTGTAGCTAGTCTGGGATCATGTCACTAAGCTACGTTGCAAACTGAAGGCCAATAAAGCCAATGAACATTGAAGACAATGCCTCCTGGTCTGATTGTATAAATGATCCCAAAACAATAAGAATCATGCAGTGTACTTGATAACATCACTAAGGGCAAACAAAACCATACTTCTTGAATCATAATTTGTCAATGCTTTTGTACCACTTTGCAAAATCACTTTTTTGAAAAGAGCCAAAAGGAGAGGTGGATGCATTTTGATGTTGGCAAATACATTCTGATGTTGACAAATACATCATCATCAGTTCTTAAAATAAGTTTTAGGAACATCACGGGAGATAAACTCTGCTAGTATTATGTAGCCAGGTGTTTAAAGACACTACTGTAAACAGTTGCCTTTCTTTTCATGACAGTATTTCTGTAGTTAGTTCCTCAGAAGAAATGCATTTAATAAATATTTTAAAGCATTATGTGCTTTACCTGTGTACGAGGCATATCCTGAAAAGGTACGTGTCCATTTGCTAGTTCACAAGCTGTAATGCCCACACTATAAATGTCAGATTTCACATTATAGCCATACATATCCTATAAAAGAAAACACTGTCTTGATAAATTCAACAACTAATCTATCAATGTGTGTGAACTGAAAGAAACTGATGCACATACAAGCAGAAAGTGTTATTTGCAATTTAATTTTAATCAGCTTTTCTATAAGCTTTTGTCTGTGATTAAGATAAAATAGTTTACACAGCTAAATAAATATAGCTTATTGTCTCTGATGCATATATTTTTAAACTGTCTGCAAAACTGTACCCTTTTAGTATAATGTTGATTTTAATACACAAAGTTACTGTATCAAATTTTTTGTTGTATTCAACTGGCTCATAAGCTTTCATTTCTAAAAACAGCCCTTTACTGAAAGTTTGGACCAATAATCACATTTCCACTAAAATATCTGAAAGCAGGAGGAGAGGAAAAGGAAAACTATGTATTTACTATTATATAGTCTGACTCCACCCACTCCCTTTTATGGATCTGCATTTATTTCTCTTTCCCAAACATTCCAAGTAATTTGCATCAAAGAAAAAAATTAATACATTTGACAAAAAACATCAAAATACAATAGAACTTTCTGCTCTATTCCATATATCCCTCTAAGCCTTTGAAACAGATGGGAACAGCTCCATAAAGGGGGGGGGTGGATTAAGTGGATGTTGTTGCAACATGCCATCAGGTCATCTTGTGACCCTATGAATGAAAGCCCTCCACAGGATCCTTTCTAGTTCCTTCACTGTTGCTCTTCCAAATCCCAGCCTCCTTTGAATTTCTTGGTTGCAGGCTCCCTTTGCATTGGGCCAAGATATGCAAAACCTTTCACAATTTCAGTTTATTCATTGTTGACATGAAGGTTGTATAATTCTTCTGTAGTCATGATTTTGTTTTCTTAATATTTAAATGAAGTCCTGTTTTTGTCCTTTCTTCTTTCTTCCACCAGTGGCACTTCAACTACCCCCGCTGTTCAGTAGCTGCCCTTCAGGAGTTTCTCTGCTCCCATCATCATTACAGATATCTATTCTCTTCTGCTGATGTAATTAGTACTGCGAAGAAGGTCTGCTTAGTCTGCTGTCTAAGGCCATTACACCTTGGGGAATCTGGCTAGGAAACCAGCCTAGAGAGAGAGTCTGGCCTCCTGGGCTCCACATTACAGGAAGGATAAAGCCAGGTTAGAATCGGTGCAATGTAGGGCCACAAGGATGGTGGCTGGGTTGCAAAGAAGGACGTATGAGGTGACACTGAGGGAAATGGGTCGGTTGGCAACATACAGGTGCATGAGGGGGTGTCACACGGAGGTGGGTAGAGACCTGTGGTCCCCTGCAGAACACATTCTAATGGAGCAAAGGTCAGATAACCAAGGTTCAATTTGGATGCCAAGAATACTTCCTGACAATTAGGACCCCGAGGGTATGGAATGGGCTTTCATGGGAGGTGGTTGAAGCCCTATCAGTGAGGGTGTTCAAGGACAGGCTAGACATGCACATGGTGGGCATGTCATGAGTGAAGTGGGCTGGAGCCGGGGGTCAGACTAGATGGCCCAGGAGACCCCTTCTGACTTGCTCTGTCTCCATGTTTCCGATTGCTCTTGGCTTCTCTGATACTTTTGAACCCCATTACCATGCTAAGGTGTGCATCCGAGTAAGGAATTAAGTGCATACATTAAAAACAGAACCAACACTCAAGATCAAACACAACAGAGATACCATCTGCTCCATTAAATTAAATGTTTAATGAAAAATGCAAATCTTGTAACCTTGCTGGGGACAACAAATGGCTAGTTTTTCCTTGGCACCTTGAAATGTTCTTCCACTTCAAAGCAGCCTAAATATCTGCTACGTGTGGCATGGAAAAGGATGCCAGGGATGGAGCATCACATGACCACTAGCTGTGTCCCTCTTGCACACCATGTGTAGCAGCCATCTGGGCTGATGTGAGTGGTGCACATGAGGGATGCCGCATGCACAGCACATGGGCTTTGATTCCTGGCGAATGCCCCATAAACGCCGGGTCCACTCACTAGGAACTGCAGCACAGGGCCCCTGCAAAGTGGGCCAAATCTGGGAGCCAAGCCCAGGGAAACTGACAGATTCCCAGCCCCAAACATTCCTCACACATCCCTGGCCTCATGTAGAGTGCAATGGAATACTCTGAATTACATTAATTTTTTTAAATAATGTGAAGTGCATTCCTCTGAATTGTAGAACATTACAGAGTCACACAAAGCGTCAGATACCACGTTAAGAAATATCAAACTATAATAAAATTAAAAAGAGGAAGTAACAGAGTTTAAGGTTTCAAACTTAGTTTCTGTGCTTAAGAATTAAAATTCTTTTGAGCAGTTCTGATGCACAGTCTGTGCCAATGTGATAGAGCAGAACTGCACTGTCACAATGAAATACAGCTTATACTGACCTGCCTTAGCAGTTCGGGACTCAGCCAAGGAAGCATTGATGTACTGAACTCAGGGAAGTCATACACAGCTTTTAACAGATGCCCACTGCTGACTAAATTGTAAAGGTGGTTTAAGCCAGAGAGATAAACTAGACCATCCTCTGAAATCAGTATGTGGCTAGCTTTAACACTTCTGAAATACAAACAGTGACAGGATGAGAAGAGAGGACTCAAATAAAAATGAAAATTCTGACACACATCATATGGTATTTTTCATACAGCCTGGCACAACAGTTCCGATGCTGGCAACAATATTCTAAGCTGTGATCTGAAGAGATCTGTAGGGTACATGCATCCAGTTTTCCTGAATTTCCCCCCATTCCCTCCCAGTTACATTTATGCTTCACACTGCATTTGAGGACAGTTTTAAGAGGTTCCTGGGGGGCAGCAGTTACATGGTAAGGGAGCAAAGGCCTGAGGGCCTTCTGTAGTTCATCATGTTAGCCTTACAAATGGCCCCAAAGTTTCTGAGAGGACCCACAATATAAGTAACAACATTCAAATATGACATAAACAAATACAGCCTCCCAGGAAGTAGCATGCTTTTGATTTGCTTTAATCTATTTTAAAATGGCCTCCGAATTTTGACAGAAAGGTGAGGTATGTATCCTTATAAATAAGTGAACCCATCAGTCAGAAAAGTTTAAAGCCTTCTGAACTGAAATAGATGAAGAAATAACAGGATTTTACAAATTCTGGAATGCAAATCTGACATTTTCCTCAGAATGAATGGATTTTTAATCTGTTCAGTCTGTTGTGTAGACTGTCAGGCATTTTCATTCTATCATCTACTGACTGGCAGCATCAGATTATTTTTACCAGAATGTTGTTCTACTTATACTAGTTAATGCAAATAAGCGTAATTGTAGAAGTACTTATCATTAATGTGAATGAGTACAAATTCACCCAAAAGTGAAAAACTTGAATTTGCAGCTCAGGCTCATAGAAATCCAAACTCATTTGGATCCACTGCAGACTTCACCAACATCCCTACACTTCCCTGTAAACTTTTCTATAGATTACCTGTGGATGAAGCCATGTTGGTGCATATAGTTTAGCCCACTAATTGCTCCAAACAGGATATTTCTGATCAATGCTTCACTCATGCCTTCAGGGAAGTAAGTCCTCAAAAGATGACTGGCTGAACCTAGAAAAGGTGAACAAGACTTGCTTGACGGTCAAATTAAGACTTCTTTATAAAGTGAAACCAGATCTGCCCCAAGACATTTTCTGTCTATAATCAGAGAGGTGCAAATGAGTAAATAGTGTGTATCAGCACAGAGAGGCACCAATGATCTCCTTCCATGTTTCCAGGGATGCTCAGACAGAACTCATGGGCAGTAAAAGCAATGTATGATCAAAGCAGAGCTCAGCAAATTACAAAGGATCCTGAAAGTACAGTTCTTTGTATTGGACTGTTTCACTGTTGCCCCTAAAAATGTTGCCTGCAATTGTCTGTCTACTAAGGCCACACCTGTATGAAACCGCCTGTTACTAAACAATAGACTGTTTCTTTTTCTTTTCCACTGGTTATGGGACAAAAACTTTGAGAGGCTGCCACTGAAAAGTCCACACCATTCTTGGGAGCTTTTAAAAAATATAACCCCTCCCCAGTCTGTTCTTTAATTTTGATAGCTCAACCCATTATACTAACATAAGGTACACCCAAATTAGCCTGTGCAGATCCAATTCAATCTACATGTTTTTGTTTGGTATTTTGTAAATGGAATACTTACTATAAGCCATGAAGGGAGAAATAATCCAAAGCCAGCTTCCAACTGTAAACACTGCCCAAAGTGTCAAGATATTGGGGTGTCGAAAGGAGTGTGATAATACCACCTCATTCTAATGGAATGAAGAAATGTTTTAATAATGGAAAGCACAGTAATCACTCCTTATGCCTTTAGCCACAGACCATTAGTAAACTGAGGACAATGCCTAAATCAAAAACCTCAATAGAAAGATTTGTGGATTGCTGCTCTTTGACAGAATAGGCTGCTTGAGAAAAATATAGCAAGATTTAATCACAAGTTTCTGAACATTTTAGTGTACCTTAAATCGATCCTTTCCATTTTTCCTACACAAGTTTTTCTAGATATTTTAGACTGCAGAACTGCGGTTTGAGGTATACTTTTTCAAATATAAGCCATTTACATTGTATTTTTCCCTCATATGCAAATTTTCCCTGAGGCTGGCTACATTAGGAAACTAACAAGTATGTGTATTTCCATATGCAACTTTCTCAGCTCACTGAAAAGTGCAGGCAATATAGACAGGGTAAATTAGAAGCAAACAAACCAACTTTCTCAATGCATTTTTCACCCATCCCTAATCTAGAGTACCAATTCATGGAATTTTAAATAAAACCATGTTCCCCCTCATTATATGTCAATCCTATAACTATCTGGAATATATTAAACATCTGTTTTACTTGTAAAGCTTTCAAGCGTTCTTCAGAACATTTTTCCAGATCTGTAATCTTTACAGCCACCAGTGTTCCTGTAGGGATATGACGTGCGAGGTAGATCGAAGTTAAATTGTTGCTTCCCTTTCCTATTAGAAAAACAAGAGTGAACCAGTTTAGCAGCTTGGTAGCATAACTGAGTGATTCCTTCATCAGTTAGCATTTAAACAATCCTATATCCTAGAATTCTATGTAAAGCTTAGCAGATGAACAAACACCAGATGTGAGGCTGGACTTAATCAAACAGGTGCAAGTTTGAATTTTGCTTGACAAAACTTCAGAACTTTGGAAGACATTTTCTATTCCAGAAGCTAATGTAGCACAATATGAAGGGCAATCTTGAAACACAGTCTTAACCTTTTACTATGTCAAACCAAATGCCAAATGTTACACTATCTCCAAAACAGCAGCAAAAATCTTAATTATCTATAGTGAAGCACAGTATATAGTAGAGTAACAGACACTCAGCTTGCTGGATCATACTACTTTTGTATGTAAAAACACATAGAGTACAACACAGAGTTGGAAGGTCTGCATTCTTATAACATCTCAGTGCCACAGCTAGTAACCCTCAAAACAGCACAGGGCAACCATAGATAACTCCTGTCACTGTGAGAAAGCGACACGTTAGGATACTTGTGCAGCACTAGCACAGCATCATCTCCAGCTTCCTCACGTGGCATTGCATGGGACTGTGGGAAATACAAACTTGCAGTTTCCTCAGGTGAAAAGAATGACCTGGAGGACTTCTTGATCAACATAGAGAGACAGATTTGGACAGCACACTGCGGCAGCTTTGGGAATAGTCAGTCACCACTGACAGGACTGCAGTCCCCATGGAAGAAAAGCACACTGGGTACAAGTATGACAATCACAGGAAAAATAAGCAGCCAAATGTGGCTAAATGTTAAAGAAAAAGCAAGTAAGGAAGATCAAATATTACTCTTGCACATTTCGGAGCTATTGGCGGGGGACTCTAGATTTTCACCTCATGGAACAGTACCATCCAATTTGCTAAAAATCTCTCAATGAGCCAAGATCAGAACAATTCACCTATTTCCACCTGGAGGTCATAGTGGGATACATCAGAGGACCAATGCACTTGTTCGTCTCCTCTCTGGGTCGACTGGCCCCAACAAACAGCAGGTTCATCTGTCTAAACAGTAATATGATTTAGGCATTTACATTAAATGTATTAAAAATGAAACTAATAATGCACATTCACAGAAACCTCTTAAATCTACCTACATTCTTACCTGTACCTTTTTCAAAAGCGCTGCATATTCTTTTGTTTTGCCTGGCTTTGGTTGTCAAAGTTGATTTGTTAGGGACAGGGTTTATGTCCACTTTATTTAAATTTTAAACCACTGTTAAATGTTCATTAGGCAAGGTACACTTTCAGTCATTCAGTACAGGACAAAAGCCAAGTATGCAGTGCAAGAGCATTAAGTGTTTTTCTGCAATATTGCATTCGTGCAAACTATAATATAGTCCCTTTCCTCCCTGCTTGAACACAGAGCTGTAATAGGCATCTATGATGATGATTAGCTAGCTAACTGTGATGACCCCCCCCCACCCCCTCGCACCCAGCACAAAAGACCCATGCCTGCTGTTCTCCACAGTTGGGAAAGCAACCTTGGAGAAGGCTCTCCAAAATGCTTCAGCTAGATTGGAACCCCCCCCCCCCCCAAAAAAAAGCAAAGCGGGGCTGCAAGATGGAAAAGCAATGGAGCTTTTCCTCTGCATCGGAAGCCCCTAGCACCTAAGCTCAGAGGATTATGGGCATTGTAATAAAATTGCATGCAAAGGACAAAGTTCATCAGGACTTTTCTGCATGTGTAAACCTACCAATGCAGCAGAACAGTTTTCTTTGGCTTCTAACAATGTTCTGCATGAAATGATGCCTGGTAATTCTTTCATTGCTATTACATGAATAGTTGCAGTCATAACTATATACTGGATTATCAAAAGTTAGCAGCAACTAGTACTCAATGGAACATAAACTACATCATTTGTAAAGACTACTGCTTATGCAGGCTTTACACATCAAGCAAGAATAGTTAAATGTATCCAGTAGTCTGGTGCAAGGTGGTAGTCAGCTGCAGGGCTGGAGAAGTTATGAGAGGTTGTATAATTTAGACTGAGAAACATAAAATGTTTATTTCATCAGTGGGCATGACTGGTAATTAAAATTTATCCCTCTCATGCAATCTTTTTAAATGATACTATTTTCTTATTGTGTCAACATTCTTCAGGCTTGTGAAATTGGCTGTAATATTATAAATAGGACCTCACCCTACACAACATATGAGGAATAAGAATAAGGAAATAAAGAATGCAATTCCTACTATATCCGAGAACACTTTTCATTTCTAACAGCAATTCTATTTTATCCAGGTCTAGTTACAACAAAATATCCAGCTTGACTAGTTGTCTATCATGCATAAGGCTTAAAAAGTTTTTGTAGCTCCAAAAATGCCAATTCTAGAAGAATCATGCAGTTGGTTAAAATAACAAGAACATCTATATGATCTTAAAATAATAATGGAAAAAGGAGTGCCAGTTACTAAGCAAATGGGAGCACAATAGCTTGGAGCTTAAACTTATCACTTCATGGAAGTTCTGTATAGAAATTTAGCCCATACAGTCACAGAGTAAAAACTACAAATGTAAAACCAATCTTAATTTTTTGTAAAAGGCATAAATGATACATTTTAAAAACTCTTTTTACTATAGCATTAAAATCCGGAAAATGTATGTTTCACACACACACCTCCATAAACAATATAAAACCTAAAATGGAGAGAATTTATTACATATGCATGTAAGCCTCCCAGAGAGTGTTATGGAATGCACTCCCTAGAGAGGTTCGCCGGGCGCCAACACTTTATTCCTTTTGGCACCAGGCAAAACCGTTTTATTTTCCCATTATTTTAAGGTTTGATTAGATTTTAATGTGGATTTTATTTTATTGGAATTATTCACATGCTGTGCTTCCTTTTATTCTGTTCTTAAGACCATCCCAAGACTTTAGTAGTTGAACGATATATAACAGCTTTAAATAAATAATCAGGCAGCATATAAATCAAATAAACAAACGATGCAAACTATGTGGTGGTTGAGTTCCACACTTCTTCTTCACCACAATGGTAGAAGGGAAAGATTCCCATGCTGCATGCACAGAGTTTCTACCTGGCCTAATCAGTAAGGGATGCTCTGTAGCGGATGGGAGCCAGGGGCTCTGGATCAATTCATATACAACCACCTGAGTCCTTATTGTCACCGCCATAAAATAACTAATAGAGAATTGGCTCTTATTCATTATCCCAACAGAGAACAAATGCTCATAAAGGTCAAGTTATAATATATATATATATATATTTTTTTACCAAATCCTGACTCCTGCTGCCTTCAGATTGCTTTTCTGCTCCAATGGATTCAACTTCTGTCCGTAGAAGGCAGGAACAGTCCTAAAAAGTATTACACTGGTAAGTGCACCATATATCATAGTTTATATCCTCACTCATCAATAATGATAAATAGAACCTTGACACACAGTTACAAAGAGTGAACATCGCCATGCCTGCTAATCCAAATGGGAAGGGTCCACAATTTCTAAAGGAGCTACTGGACGATTAGCATCATTATGAAAAATCATGACCAAGTATGTTCTCTCTCAACTAAACGCAGCTCTTCTTCAAAGAAATATTAACACAGAATATACAGACTACAGCTTTTTCTGTAGGCCTTCAGTGTGCAATGGCGCCACCATTTATGTTTTTGATCTTGAACCACCATATTGATATACAGACCAAAAAGGTGTAAATGTACAGGTCTGAAAGTAGAACCACTACTTTTGGCATGTTGCCCTCTCTTACAACCCAAGGAAGATTTTACCACCTAAGCAGGAGCGAGAGTAGGTCCAATCCACAGACCCAGGGATTTGCAGCTCTTTCTGTATAGATGTCTGTTAATTTTGTCATCACAATAGTGTGGTGACAAAATTAAAAAATGTAACAGAAATCTGTATCACTTAAAATTCTTAAGCCTTCTGCATTTGATGCCCTCCAGATGATTCCCATCAGTGCCCGATGACATGGCCAATAGTCAGGAATCATAAGGTTTGTAGCCCAAAACATTTGAGGACAAGAGAATGGAGAAAGGAGAACATGAGTGCCTTCTTTTTGCTGCAACACTATTGAAAAACAGGAGATTTCCACTTTCTCTTTGTAGTTTTAAGACATCTAGCCAAATGTAAAAGAAACCTGAAGTAGTCAAAGGAAAGCTATTTTCTTTCATTGATCTGGTTCACACATTATGAGCAGCAAGGATTAAACACAGTTAATCAAGACTTACAGGAACAAACGGATGGGCAGCAGCATACTCGGTCCAGCAACTCGTGCATTAAACAACCCATAGGTTGTCATTACAAGCAAACCAGAACACAATGTTTTAAAAACACAAACAAAACAGATGTCTACCTAAAACCTATTGCATGTGGCTAGTTAGCAAAGAACAAATATCTGCTTACCAAACAAGACATGGAACTGCCTTAGTGCATAGAAAATGTCATGCAAACCCATCTACCCTGAAATAAAATATTAAAAATTATTTTAAATTGCATTCAGCCCTAAATCCCAAACATCAAATATGCAAAGATGCCACTCCAACCCACACACTTACAAGACTCAGCTTCCTATTATGTCTGACATAGGATCCTACCCTGATCAGCTTTACAATTCTTCCTGACACACCATATATTAATAACCTTTAGGTTATGAGGCAGCACAGAAATGAAAATAAATAAATAAAATTACACCAGAAATAATAAATCCATAACCTTGAAGGAACTGTGGTAAGAAGAGCTATTATATGCATATTTAATCAGAAATCCTATTGTTTCCTGGAAATTGTTGCCCTATAAGCATACTTAAAACTATACACTGAGAAGTGCAGCTACTGAAAAAACAGCATTTATCACATCGAATACAATGTATGCAATGGACTAAACTCAGGAAAGTCCAGTTGTGTCAGACTACAGCACTTCTGGCTGCTTTCATCACACACAAACATATATCTATAGACCAGGGGTGTGCAACTTGAGGTCCTCCAGAGGTTTTGGCCCATAACTCAGGTGGCTCCTTATTATGATGTAGCTGAGTAACCATGCTGGCTAGGATTGATGGGAAATGTAGTACGCAAAAACACATGGAGGTTCCACACTCAGAAAGGTGGTGCAACTCTTTCTGAACGGATGTCTATTTAAATTATAATGAAGAGACAAACTAAAAAAATATAATGGCTGTAGCACCTCAAAGGTATATAAGCCTTTCCAATTTGGTACCTGCCACATGACTGGGGCTACAACTCCCATCAGCTACCATCAGAATTACTGATAATCAGGAATGGCAAGAGTTGACAGGAGTTGAAATCTAAACTTTTGGGTGGCAAAAGAATGGAGAAGGAAGGATATGAGTGCCATCTTTCTGCTGCAGCAAATAAAAACGCTTACAACAACTATGTAAACATTCAAAAACATTCACAGTTCATTTTTTTTACAAAGTGAAAAGGCAAATAAATGGTCTCCCTGAAAATGGGCGCGGGAGGGGAGGGAAGAAGTCTGAAATCGGCATTCAAATCATCGATCGGTAAATGCATCGGTAAGTTAAGGAAATCAGAATTTAATCCAAAGGAGAAAGAATTTTTGAAAGTCCTGTTTAAAACATTGAATTGTACGTACCCTAAATTTATCAACTCAGCTAACTCTGTCGCAAGCAAACACGCATAGGATAAGGCTGCACATGCGATAAAGAAGCACTGCATACTCATAGCTATCTTAACTTTCAGAAATACTAATGATAGCCACGCATAAATCAAGACGTTCTCTCCGGTGTACCCCGCCTCCCGCGCAGCTCCGCTATGCACGGAAACGGGGCACTTTAAGCCGTCTCCAATCTCCCCCAGCCCAGCCCAGCCCAGCCCAGCCCAGCCTCCAAGCCTTGTCAGCACGCAAGAGTTAAAGCGGTGTCAGGAGTAGCTGAAGTCACCCTCCACAGCAAGAGACAAGTGGCGATTTGCATGAGCAACTTTCTATTTTTTCCACCCTTCAGGCGCCTGCACTGTTAACTGGCCTCCCCTTGCACGACTTCACACGTGCGTACACACAGGCACGTTTGCCTTCACGCTGCACTGCCTCCTCTCCTTCACGCGCCAACGGAGCTCGCGAATGCTTCACCAGTTACCTGGAAGTAAGTCCCCCTGAACTCAAGCGGGACTTACTTCTGAGTAGGCACGCCGAGGACGGCGCGCTCGACCCCTCCCTCGCATGCACCATCGTCCGGGCGGGCTCGGCTCCCCCGCCCTCCCGTCTCTCACCGCAGCGGCGGCGACCGTGGGAGGGGCCAGCGCCCCCAAGGCCGCGGAGGAGCCCCGCGAGCCCCGAGTGAACGTCGGCCGGTGCCCGAAGAGCGGCAGCGCGAGGGCCTCCTCCTCTTCCCGCACAGCTGGCCGCACCCCCGTCTACTGCCCTGCCCCGCCTCGGTCGCGGCAACCCAAGCGCCCCATCCACGACTCCGGCGAGCCTCCCGCTTCAAACCCCGCCCCGCAGAGTAGCTGAGAGGGAGGCTGGCCAGGCGAGCGGGCGCGCCCCCCACGGGAGGACTACGAGTCCCACGATGCAACGCGGCCAGTCTGTGCACGACGGGGTTTTCCAAGCGGGGGTTGGGGGTAGAGAAAAGAGAGCCTGTCCCCGCCTCGCTGTTGCACGACGGGAAAGATAGTTAGAAAAAGAAGAAGGGCTAGCGAGCGATTGAGGTCTATTGAGGGGGAGGGGCGGCGGTCTCGTACCCTTTTCGGGCGCCATCTTGCGACCCCGTGCGGCTATCTCCACCTCCTCTCCCGTCCCCTCCCCTGCCCGTATCCGCCCACGTTGCTTCTTCATTCCAGCCGGTGCACCGAAAGAGGGAGCTGAGGAGAGGCTGTTGCAATAGGAGCGACCCGTAGCTTGAGTGCAGGAGGCGGGAAGGGTCGGAGCGGAAAAGAGGCAAACCGTGGACCTGGTAAGAGGCGAACGGGGGCGACCCTGTGATTCCTCATTCCCTCGCTTTCAGCTCCCGCCCATTGCTGTCTCCTTCCTGCCACCATCTCTCTCCTCCATTTCGTCTGAGCCTCTTCAGGCAGTTTCCTCTCTTTCCGCCTCCACAATTAGGCAGCCCGGTGCTGGGAGTATTGCCTCGGAAACGACTGCCAGGAATTCAGTCGTGCCTTGTCCTGGAGAAGCATGCACAGAATTGCATCCTCGCTCTTCCCTCCTTCCCACAAATGTTGACAGCCCCAGTACTCCTTTGAACTCTCTCACGCCCTCTTCCCCTCCTCTCTCTTCGTTGATATCATACCAGAAATTTGCTTCTTTTGAGCAGGCTGTCCTCTCTCGCTTGCTGCAGTGAGAAATTTCCAAAATTAAAAGGCGAAACTCAGAAAAGCCAAAAAATAAAAAAATGAGGAAAGGATATGCAGTATGCCCTTATCTGGACCAACTGTGATTCTCCCACATGGTTAAGGGATGCCTCTGCACATAGAAGAATACGGAGCGGTATTTGATGTTGATTTGCTTGTCACGGAAGTCCTGCCCAGCTAGTCACTGATTAGACAGTTCCCACTTGTTTCTCTCCTTCCCTCTTAATGAAAATAAAAGGTTCTTTCTCTTTTCTGGGTGACATCAGTGGGATTTGTAGTCAAGTGATGAGGCTGAATCAGTATGAATCCAAGAACAATGTATGCCTGATTCCGTTGCCTGTTGAGCAATGAAGACTGAGAGTAGCAATGGTTTTAACATTTTTCACCTGTGGACTCCTTTTTGAAAATGGCATCTGACCTGCCTTTGTTTTACATGTAAATGCTTTTATAACACATAACAACTAAGTTGATGATTCTTGCAAAAGAGAACTGATATTGGTTCTTTCTGTATTGGCTTTTTTTTGTGCTCAGCTTTATCAACTGATAAAGAGGATTCTAGATTTATTTTGCTTTATAAGGTATAACATATGGAAATACCAGTTCAATTATTTGAACTTTTGAAGTGCTCTTTTTATGCATCTTTCAGTAACAAAACTGTCCTTCCAGTTTGACCTTGGTGATTCATGCCTGAAACTGTTCAGAAGGCATACAAATATTGGCAGCTATGACAGGATCTGAGTGTGTATGTCTTGAGTCTAACTTTTAAACTTGCTTGTCTATGAAACCTGTTCTTGGCATGCACTATACTGTGCCATAAAGTTTTGTGCTTTTTTTAAAAAAAAATATGTTATATATTAGGTCAACATGGATGTTTTGCTGTGGACCAGCAAGGAATTTTGATGCACAATTGTTCAATGCTAGTAGCAACAACATGAGTCTTCTTCCCCACCTCCTGCCAAATTATTCTGCTGAAATGTATAATATTTAGGATAACTGGATTTGTAGGTGAAAGAACTAGGAGAATTTTAAGTCCAGATTCCAAAATACCCAATGAATCTTCCACAAATATATCCAAACATTAGACAAGCATAGATGAGCAATGTGCAAAAGGAGAAGGGACTCTATTTCTTTTTCAGTTCATGCTTCAGTTCATATAGTCTCCCATGCATGTCTATAAGTAATTCCCACTGAACTTAATGGAAAAGTGTGCATAGGGCTGTGCTAAACAAATTAAATTTAAATGGTTAATCCTCACTGATAGCCTGTGGCTTTACAGTGGGGAAGAAATTACTCATGATTATCAGTGCTTCTTTCAAAGGGCAACCTGTAGACTGTAAAGTCACCTTCAATTCCAGATAAAGCTGACATATGACATATAACTTAAAAATAATATTAATTTATTTTTACTATAACAGTTTTCATACATAGTTGTTCTACTAGGAATGCTTGCTGGTGTGTGTGTATATAAACAAAGCAATACTTTTTCACAGTCAAACTGCACATCTTAAGTTTTTGTTACTCTTCTGTTAAACAAATTGGTTATAGTATTTTAAGATCAGAGCCTAGTTTTGCTTTGCCTCCATTACCAACACTGTTGCCTACCTCATTCGTTCATTTTCTGTCATGGAAAAAGATTTTGTCAATGCTAAATTATCTCTTACTGTTGAACTAACATTGGTATATATCACCACTTGTATTAGCAGTGCTTCCATATTCTGAATTATCCCATATACTGTTCATTTCTTTATTTACTAATCTTGACTTTAGAAGCTAAATAATATTATTATTCTTTATTCAAACTTGTTATTTGTTTAGTACTTTAGCAGGTCTGTGCGCGTTTTGCCAAATACAAGCTTCATAGTTGGCATCTGTCAGGAGTACATCTCATCCCTGTTCCCTTTCCAGCTGATCAAAGTGAAAACCTTCTAAAATACATTCCTTGATTAAACTAGGTTTGCTTTGTAGTACAGAAAGAGTAATAGTAAAGTTGTTAGCATTTACCAATGTAGTGATCGCTCTGATTGGTGGAGTTAGCTTTTGCCCATGGTAGGAGCAGATTCCCAAATGAACGCCCCTCCTCATTTTTTTTCCTCCAAAGGAGGCTGGCTGAATCTTTAGAGCTTGTGGGCTAGACTGCGGGAATGCTAGACATTACTTATGTTGTGCTTTGGACCCTTCCCTCTTTTCCTTCCGTTTATCAAACTCAAGGTGAGCCCTTTGAAGTGCAATTCTTTATTGAAACTTAACAGATTGCAAAACAATGTGAACTCTTAACAAGCCACCTGCTAAAGTCGAGGGAGAAGTAGCTGCCCATGTAAAGAGTAGAATCCAAACTGAAAACTTCCCCTCAGTCCCTCCCTTTCAGTAAAACTGACTTCCCCCTCTTTGGCTTCTGCTGCTTGATCGCTAGATAGCAGGAATGTCAGACGACCTTTAACTGGGCAGCACACTTCTCCAGTTACCATCATACTGAGTCAAAGACTGGGTTTTGCATCTGCTTTCCAGCCCCCCCCCCCCCCAACCAGAGGCAGTCTGGTTCTCAGCAGCTGCTTGGCTAATCTTGCTTGTTAACCTTGGCATTTCAGTAACACATTCCAACCTCTCTGCTTCTTCATTGAGCTTGCCTTCAGAACCTGAGCTTTCAGGCTTGGAATGCTTATTTTGAGAGATGGACCCAATCCCTTGGGTATCTCATTCATCCTTTCAAGAACATTTGAAGACAGATCAAGCTTGGGTCTTGACATTGACATTAGTGTAATCACTTCATATACAACTGACAGTGCCATTTGCACAGTGAGTGAGCAGTTAAGGGGACTGCTGAAGTGTATATAGCAGAGAAAGTAAGTACTGTAATCATGATAGATTCTGAGGGATGTGTTTAAGGGCATATCAGTCTTCTAAACAAACAAGTACATGTTTGCTTAGAAATACCTCATTGCTTTCGGTTGAACATTCTCCCCAAGTAGGTGTGTATAAGACTGCAGGCTTATATCCAAGTTGGGGAATATTATTCAACCCTGTGAATTCTCTAGCATGGGTCAAGGGTCTGTTCCATCCCCCATTCTATTTAACATCTGTATGAAACTGTTGAGTAGAGTCATCTGGAGTTTTGATGTGTATTGCCATCCTGAAACTTTTGTAATAGGATGGGATAGAAAAGCTATAAATAAGCAAGCAAACTCATGGCATGCAGCTCTGCTTCTCCTTTTCATCATCAATAGGTGAAGCTGTGGGTGTTCTAAACTAGCGTCTCGCTGTGTTCAACCTGTTCTAGATGGGGTTGCACTCCCCGTGATGGAATAAGTGGGACCCATCAGTCCAACACAGAACAGTTCTGGCCTGCTTGCATTGGCTCTGTGCTGCTGGGCCCAATACAAGGTGCTGCTTTTAACATATAAAACCTTACCTGGCTTGGGACCACAATATTTGATCGAGCACCTCTCCCACCTGCAATCTACCTGGCATGTGGGGCCTTCCTCCAAGTGCCACCTGCAAGAGAGGCTCAGAGGGTGGCAACAAAAGGGGAAGGCTTTCTGTGTGGTGGCGCCTCATCTATGGAATGACCTCCCCACTGCTGCCTGCTTAGTGCCACTTTTGTCATCTTTTCAGTACCAGTTAATGACAGCCCTTTACGCCAAGGCTTCAAAATATATTTTTGCTTATTCAGGGGCTTGAGGGGATAACCCATCCCAGGTGCTTTTCTTATACAGGACATTTTTCATTGTATGCTTTTAGGTGTTTTTAACTTACATTTCTTTGGATAAGACTTTATTTTTATTCTATGATTGTATGTACTGTTGTCAAGTGCCCAGAGGGCTTTGGCTATTGTGCAGTATAGAAATGAAATATAATAATATCCATTGTTAGTCAAACTTAAATCCCATTCATTTCAATGGATGTGTTCTGAGTAGGACTAATATTGGCTACAACTCAATCTCTTCACCCACCCAAAACAAGACCATTTCTTTAAAAGTCTCATTGTATTGCTTGCATTACTGATTGACATCAGTCCAAGCTGAAGGCAAAATAATAAAAACCAAGCAGGTGGTGTTAGTACTGTAAACTTAGTAAATATTGAAAGGTTCGATATAGGATTGATAAGACTGTAAGAAAAAGAA